ACGCCCCCCCCCCCCCCCCCCCGGTGGCTACGCCACTGGCGTGATCTCCAAGAACATCATGTAACCTTATACACCTGTATTAATGATGAGTTTACCATTTGTTTGAAAAGCATAATTTTGTGGAAAAGCCTCAATCAATTTGCTTCCAATCATTTTTTTTAATCCACGTGGGTAGTGATCCCTTAGGATGGGGATAACATAATATGGACACTCAAATTAGTTTTAACATTTCATCCGGGACGCAACCAGTAATATCCCCCAGATGCATATAAATGTTGTAAAAACTCACCATATAAATCGAAGGCCAAAATGTATGACCATGCCTTACAATCTCGTTCTTATTGTCTACTTCTTTTCAATATGCATTGAACAGGACGGTTGTATGCTGTACCCACTGTGCTTGGCAACTTTGCGTTTCCTTAAAAAAATTAAATAAGAATAAAATAAAGATAAAAAACTAGATGTTAATTGCGTTTGGCTTTGTAACAAACGCAGGATGATGGGGCGCTGAACTATTTGTTTGACAGTATTAAATTTGTTAATTTAATTAAAAATGGCGGATCTAGCACTGTTCTTGTGATAATGTAACGTAGATGCAAACCTCAATAAAGGAAAAGCTGTCAAGATAACCAGAATTGGGCAGTACATGTACGAAACATTCGGAATTCCATAAACAGCGCAAGCTATAGAGTATCATGGTGTCCGACCTCTCCCTCCTCCCCAGTATCGGATTAACGTACGGGCCCAGGCCGGCCTCGGGCCCACATTGTCGGGGCCTCTCACAAAATGCTTACTGGAATCACTTCGTCCTTCGGCATCAGTCCAGGCATCTTCAGCATATCCAATTTGGGGGCCGGGGAGAAAAATGAATAGTTTCTGAAAAAGTGGCTGCATCTCTTACTTTTCTAAAGGGTAAAAAAAAATTAAGATCAGTGGGCAACGAAGCTGACCACTCGACCATGTGGTTTCTTTTTTGTTCTGTACAGGCAATTATGTCCTGATGGGCGGAAACACGTGGATGATTGTAAGATGAGCAATAGCCTATAATTATGCGTTTGATTTGTCTGGATATTGCCATGTCTTAAACAGCCGTAATGACACGCAACAATGAACGCTGCAGTAAACTACATGTACTATTACCAGCGGCGTGGCCAGGGTTCTGAGGGGGGGGGGGGGGTGGAGGGGTTGGATGTTAGATTGGGGTTGGGGGTGCCCAATTTCCTGTTGAACCAGTTAACCGTATTCACTTATAATTAACAAATTTCCAGTCGGGGCGACTGTAATTACATGGGAGATTTTTGTAAGGGCACGGTCAAGTCGTGGAACTAAAACAAACATTTTCACCCCCCCCCCCCTCGGCCCTCCCCCCCCCCCCAAAAACAAAACCTCTTAGGGGGGCTCAAGCCCCCCTCTCCCCCCCCCCCTCCCCTTGGGTGCGCCAAGGATTTATTGCTAGAGTAAGCTATCTGTCCCTATATATATTCGAAGTCCGAAGAACATGGAGCGGAGGGAACGGGAACCAGTTTAAGCAGACGACAGTGTGGTAGATTTTTCTTTTTCCTTTTTATCCCCCTGGCTTTCAAGCCAGACAGAAAGATATTGCGATCGCGTATTCCTTCTGTGTGTCCGTGTGTGTGTGTGTGCCATTTTGGTTAGGTTTTAACTGTAAGTCATAACCACATCCAGGGCACTAAGGACAGACTGACAGAGTGGACGGCTTTCCGCCAAATAGTGCGCAACAAGTACAAAGTGCACAGACGAGATGTATACGTGTATTTGCAAAAAAGATGTCAAAAATCAATTTGATCATACACGGATGGAAAACGATTGGACGGTATATAAGCCTACATGTACCGTTTTGAAAGTAAAGCGAAAAATATTTATTTTAAGAATTGATTAAGCGCCTGAAAATGATGAGGATGAGCACATTTTGAATTTGCTGAAGAAACTGCAGGAAATACTCGGCTTGGGTTCTAATGCTGCTTGAGCGCTTACATTTTGTATGTAATATGAAACAAAAAAATCAAATCTCAAATCACTTTGATCACTAAGCAATCATTTCTGAGGTTAATAAGAAAAAGATGTACCTCTGTACATGAGCTCTGCATGCACATCGATCATTGTCCATATGTAATTCAAACAGCTGAATCGAAGAGATCCGGAGGTATGAAAACGAGGTTTTATTGAGACATCTGCTTGTACTTGTCAAGAGTGACTTTAATCAATGCACTACTCCAGACAAGCATAAACTCGGGTCTCGACGAAAATAATTATTTGGATGAAACAGACATCACGTTAATGCTTGAAAAAATGAACTCAATGGAATGGTAAAATTTAGGTCTTATGCCTCGGAATAATTTTTTGCTGGGGCATTACCATTGGCGTCCCGGTCCAAAAAATTGTGGGGGACGTGTCCCCCCCCCCCCCCCCCGATCTCCGCCCATGCATGGAGAATAATATTTAGTGGGGGGCCAATGTACTTCCGTTGGCATATCATGTTAATTTATGGCAACCATTATAAATGTAATCTTATGAGTCCTGAGAACAAGAAAATTGATGTTGCCATTTTTTCCATTGACCTTTAGTGACCTTGACCTGAGGTCAAAGTTCGTGGGTCATTTTCACCTAAAATTTGCCTTTCGGAAGGGTTTGCGAAGATTTTCGAGGCAAGTGAGCACATATTGTATTTGGTTGAGAGTTTTCCCAGTGTAATAAATGTTATTATGAAAGTATTTATGGGTTTTCCTGAAGAAAACATGGGAACATGTCACTTTCGTCCGAAAAGGGCCGGGTTGTTTTGACCATCTCACGCATGGTCATCGCGTGACGAAAAATTATGAAACTTGTTACATGCATAGAACAACTTAACATGAACAAACCCAAGAAATTTCATGACTATGGGTCAAAGGGTTTTGGAATTACGGCTAATTAATTATTCATAAGCACGTATGGTAATTCAAATGTGTACACTACATATATGGGGAAATTCAGTTTTGACGGAGGGTAGCGCCGAAAATATTTCGCTGCGCGGCAACCTGTGTTTCGAATTGTATGTTTTTGGTATCAAAAGATGTGCAAGACTCGAGGCTAAAAAGTCAGGACAGCTCAGGCCGCGAAATAAATAACTTTTCAAGAGTATTGCGGAAAAAGTTGAAAGGGGGGAAATCGGCCCCCCTTTAAGGGCCAAAATATGACCAACCCTTTAGTGCCTGGCATCTAAATATGAAATGTTGTAAAGTGTCCTCTGCAGTACCGCACTCACACAGGGTGTTTGTCGGTTGAGGAAAATCCCCACTTCTTCATGTTGCTTTTGGTGCGAGCCACTTCAGAGCGGAGTTGATTTAAGCACCTCCAGGTCTTCCATCCTAATGCCACCGCCACAATCCACAAAACAGCCCAAGCCACGCATAATTATCGGGGATTTAATAGCCACAGCAGCATCATTGGCTATCATTCCAGCACAGACGTCGACGCTTTTGAATCGCTGGCCGAAGCAAGTCAACTGAGCCTTATTCACAAATGCGAAACTGTCGAAGTTTTTCCACAGTGGAGGCTGGAGATAAAGTTTCAACCCTGCTCTAGCCCTTGTGAGCCACAAGGGCGGATCCAGAAGACAATTTTTGGGGGGCCCCACAAAAATTTGGTCCCCCCAAGACGTGGGTCAAAAAATTACGGCGTGGGGTTCGGGGCCCGCTTATAAGGGCCCCGAATTTTTTTTTGGATTCTAGATGCTCTGTGGTGCGATCTGAGGCAATTTCTGACCACTTTTACCAATGTTTTTTTGAGGAAAAGATGGTGGTGTACTCATTGCCTGCCTTTATTGCGACGTCACATAAAATAAAAAAAAATTGGTTTCGTTTTTGGGGGGCCTTGGCCCCCATTGGCCCCCCCCCCCCCCCTGTATCCGCCCTTGGTGAGCCACAACATCGCCTCACTTAGCAACAAGATGGTCCTTGACCCCATTCCAAAGACCCGACATCGCCCTATTGGAATCAAAGTGACTGCTGCTGTCTCTTCGCAACAATTCCATTCCACCGCTGTTTCAACTTAGTAAGGCCAACTGTGAAGGCTTCACCAATGAGCTCAAACACCATCTAGCTGACATTGATCCAACCCCTGATAACTATGACACCGGTTTGTTGATGTGGTGGTGCAAGGACATCCCAAGAGCTGCCGCACTAATTACATCCAGGCTTAGCATCCCGTAGTGCTGAACTTTACAGGAAATAGAAACGCATGTATGAAAACGACTCTCTTGCTGACGATACCATATCATCTGGGGAGGAATTAATAACAGCCATATCAGAACAGCTTCAAAGCATGTGGCAAACCTTTGTGGTAACCACCAATATGGCCAAGAAGCCAATATGGCCTCCAAGCCTGGAGTATAATATAAAAAAAAACTCAGCCAAGTGAACAGCATTGTAACATCACCGCCAACCAAATAGCCCACAACAACTGCTATTTAAATGGTAAAGTGCCACGTTCTCCTAATAAGCGACCGAAAGCCAAGCTCCGCCAGAAAGACCCCGCCATCGACCTAATTGGCTTCATCAAATCCTTCTCTGCTAATGAACTTGCGACTGGCATAAATAAAGAACAGGAAATCAACCAAACTGGATAACATTTTCACCAAAGAACTGACACATCTTGGACCAAACGCCTCAAATTGGTTACTCCAGCTCATCAACACCTGCCTCGCCACACAAACAATACCTAAAGGCAAAAGTCGAAGGTCATCGCCCTCTTAAAACCCGGGAAAGACCCAATGCATGTCAAAACTTATCGTCCCAAAGTCACACATTCAAGTTGCTGGAATATTTCCTCCTCAACCTTCTTGCCTCTTCATTGAGAAATTACAACTGATACAGAAACAGGCAGGCAGGCTTCCGTCCCGGCAAATCTACAACGGGACAGCTTCTAAACCTCACTCAGTACATTAAGGACTGCTTCCAACAGAAAAAAATAGATCACCGGCGCTGTCTTTGTTGATCTTACAGCTGCTTTTGACAGTGTTAACCGTTGCCGACTCCTTCAGAAGATCATGGACATGACAGCAGACCTGACCCTTACCCAGTTTATTGGTGTTCTACTGAAGAACCATCGTTTCTTTGTAGGAACGGTCCCCCAAGGGAAGACGTTGACCGATGCTCTTGACCAGTCACAGCATTGCTACACTGTGAGTCACCTGAAAGCGAACAACCCTGCTATTAAGACCCAAGTGTGTGCCTCCTGGGCTGACCAGGCTGGTGGCGTCTCCCCCACTACATGAGGTGCCAATCAAGCCTGCAGAAGCCTTACCTACAGGATCCAATGCAGGATGGAAGACCTGGAGGTGCTTAAATCACCTCCGCTCTGGAGTGGCTCGCACCAAAAGAAGTGGGGATTTCCCTCAACCGACAAACACCCTGTGTGAGTGTGGTACTGCAGAGGACACTTTACAACATTTCATATTTAGATGCCAGGCACTAAAGGGTTGGTCATATTTTGGCCCTAAAAGGGGGGCAGATTTTCCCCCTTTCAACTTTTTCCGCGATACTCTTGAAAAGTTATTTATTTCGCGGCCTGAGCTGTCCTGACTTTTTAGCCTCGAGTCTTGCACATCTTTTGATACCAAAAACATACAATTCGAACCACAGGTTGCTGCGCAGCGAAATATTTTCGGCGCTACCCTCCGTCAAAACTGAATTTCCCCATATACGTAGTGTACACATTTGAATTACCATACGTGCTTCTGAATAATTAATTAGCCGTAGTTCCAAAACCCTTTAACCCATAGTCATGAAATTTCTTGGGTTTGTTCATGTTATGTTGTTCTATACATGTAACAAGTTTCATAATTGTTCGTCACTCGATGGCCGAAGTCATGGGGGCGGAATCTGCGTGAGATGGTCAAAACAACCCGGCCCTTTTCGGGCGAAAGTGACATTTTCCCATGTTTTCTTCAGGAAAACCCATAAATACATTAATAACATTTATTATAATGGAGAAACTCTCAACCAAATACAATATGTGCTCACTTGCCTCGAAAATCCTCGCAAACCCTTCCGAAAGGCAAATTTTAGGTGAAAATGACCCATGAACTTTGACCTCAGGTCAAGGTCACTAAAGGTCAATGCAAAAAATGGCAACATCAATTTTCTTGTTCTCAGGACTCATAAGATTACATTTATAATGGTTGCCATAAATTAACATGAAATTTCGACGGGAACCCAAATCTGCACATTGGCCCCCCTACTAATTCCAATGATTCGGCAGATGCAATATCTCATTTTATTCATAAACTTTCTCATGACATGTGCCGTGTAACATTATCTGTGGCGCGATCTGCAGGATCATCACGTTACTCGGCAACTGTACCGTTTGTTTGAAAGGTATGATTTGTGGGGTTCGTTCAAAAATCAAACTAATTACTTTCGTTCAATTTGTCTATTGAAACAAAGAACATGAACACGAAAGAAGAACGAAGGGAAAACCAAATGTGATGGGGGTTCATCCACATCACACAATAAAAGGAAAGGCTGCATATAGGCTACATGTACTTTAAAAACCCAAACACTTTTTACGGTTTTCTTTTCTTGTTTGTTACAAAAATATCCACGCCATTATCCATGCATCACTGACTATTTTTTTCTTTAAGTTTTTGGGAAATTAATATTTAATAAAAGACTGAAATTTACATGTACATACTCTATATTCAACTGGTTTTACATTTTACTTTGTAGAATTCGGGATTAGTTCTGCCGTGTCATCTCTGTGTTTTTGTCATCTAAACTGTTTTACAAGTTTCAAGGTGATCTTAGACAAGAGCAAATGAAAAATAGAATTAGCTGTTGCAAACTGCTTACCAACCAAAATTACCTATGGTATAAATGCAAAAAAATAGTTAGTGGCCTGACGTTTCGACCCTAGCAGGGTCTTTCTCGAACGCTAAATGACAAGACTATAAACATAAACAGGTACACGTATACATTACTGATGTAACAAAATCAGTCAAGTGGAAATAGATGATGCAGAGGAAAATACACAGAGAAAGCAGGCGGCTGAACAGAAAGGAGGGTAACAAAAGGGAGGGGGACTGGGGGAAGGGGATGGTTGACCACAAGAGGTCGGAACACAATTCTTCTCGACTCATGCAACTGCAATTGACATTTAGGAAGGATTCGAGGCAGGCAATTAGACTCTATTTTTGTGTGACTATGGCAGTAGCTCAATTTGTGTTTATCACAGATGAAAAGATGAATACATGGCGAGTCAAAAAGAAAGTGACCGTATGATCAAAACAAATGGCACGCTCCATTTTGTAAAAAATATAATTGGGATAAAGAACATGTTATTGAGTAGTAACTGTGAACATTTCACGTTATTTGCATACTCTATTCCCAAGTCGTGTCTATTTTAATAAAGAGATCACAAAATTCAGCTGTCCACCACTAATACCAATTTAACGGTCTACGAAATGATGAATATCCATTAATAAATATATTTATAAAGGAAAAATTGAAAAGGAAAATAGAAAAAAAATCACCAATATTTCTAGGGAAGAAGAGTTGAATTGTTCCCCATATTCAAAATACAAAATCTGACTGTAAAAATAATGTTTCAGTCTTGATTCATAAGATTTAAATCTCAGTTGTATTTGGAATCAATGAGGATGGCTATAAAGTGCTTGTTTCAATAGATCATCCCACAATAAAAACGAAAAATAAGAAGAGGAGCAATGGTTATTGGACTATGCCTCACTCACTAGAAAGTGAAGAGAGACATGTCCATTAGCATCACACTGCAGTCACATTTGCCCTAAACTGATTCTTTACTTAACCCTAAAAGGGCCGGGGGCGGAATCCGCCCCCCTCTCTTTTTGGGTGGTCTCGACTCGAGACCAGCCAAAATATCGAGACCAAAGGGGACCGAGACCGAGACCAAGACCGAGACCACAGCTCCCGAGACCGAGACCGAGACCGAGGCCGGCAAAAAGTGGTCTCGAGACCGAGACCGAGACCGAGACCGGTCTCGAGACCTACAACACTGGTAATACGCATTTTAGATTACCATTATGCGCTATGTCACGCCGGTTGTCAGCTTACTGGTCCGCGGTCGCCTGTCGAAGGGTCGTTTCTCAGTGGTCATCATGTGGATCATTCGCGACTATTTAGATTTAGATCAATGATAATTTTTTTGAAACTCAAAATCTCAGTGGGGGGGGGGACTGGGGGCGACAAGGTTTCATGGGGGGCGGACGCCCCCCCCCACGCCCCCCCCCCCCCCGTGGCTACGCCACTGGCGTGATCTCCAAGAACATCATGTAACCTTATACACCTGTATTAATGATGAGTTTACCATTTGTTTGAAAAGCATAATTTTGTGGAAAAGCCTCAATCAATTTGCTTCCAATCATTTTTTTTAATCCACGTGGGTAGTGATCCCTTAGGATGGGGATAACATAATATGGACACTCAAATTAGTTTTAACATTTCATCCGGGACGCAACCAGTAATATCCCCCAGATGCATATAAATGTTGTAAAAACTCACCATATAAATCGAAGGCCAAAATGTATGACCATGCCTTACAATCTCGTTCTTATTGTCTACTTCTTTTCAATATGCATTGAACAGGACGGTTGTATGCTGTACCCACTGTGCTTGGCAACTTTGCGTTTCCTTAAAAAATTAAATAAGAATAAAATAAAGATAAAAAACTAGATGTTAATTGCGTTTGGCTTTGTAACAAACGCAGGATGATGGGGCGCTGAACTATTTGTTTGACAGTATTAAATTTGTTAATTTAATTAAAAATGGCGGATCTAGCACTGTTCTTGTGATAATGTAACGTAGATGCAAACCTCAATAAAGGAAAAGCTGTCAAGATAACCAGAATTGGGCAGTACATGTACGAAACATTCGGAATTCCATAAACAGCGCAAGCTATAGAGTATCATGGTGTCCGACCTCTCCCTCCTCCCCAGTATCGGATTAACGTACGGGCCCAGGCCGGCCTCGGGCCCACATTGTCGGGGCCTCTCACAAAATGCTTACTGGAATCACTTCGTCCTTCGGCATCAGTCCAGGCATCTTCAGCATATCCAATTTGGGGGCCGGGGAGAAAAATGAATAGTTTCTGAAAAAGTGGCTGCATCTCTTACTTTTCTAAAGGGTAAAAAAAAAATTAAGATCAGTGGGCAACGAAGCTGACCACTCGACCATGTGGTTTCTTTTTTGTTCTGTACAGGCAATTATGTCCTGATGGGCGGAAACACGTGGATGATTGTAAGATGAGCAATAGCCTATAATTATGCGTTTGATTTGTCTGGATATTGCCATGTCTTAAACAGCCGTAATGACACGCAACAATGAACGCTGCAGTAAACTACATGTACTATTACCAGCGGCGTGGCCAGGGTTCTGAGGGGGGGGGGGGGTGGAGGGGTTGGATGTTAGATTGGGGTTGGGGGTGCCAAATTTCCTGTTGAACCAGTTAACCGTATTCACTTATAATTAACAAATTTCCAGTCGGGGCGACTGTAATTACATGGGAGATTTTTGTAAGGGCACGGTCAAGTCGTGGAACTAAAACAAACATTTTCACCCCCCCCCCTCGGCCCTCCCCCCCCCCCAAAAACAAAACCTCTTAGGGGGGCTCAAGCCCCCCTCTCCCCCCCCCCCCCCTCCCCTTGGGTGCGCCAAGGATTTATTGCTAGAGTAAGCTATCTGTCCCTATATATATTCGAAGTCCGAAGAACATGGAGCGGAGGGAACGGGAACCAGTTTAAGCAGACGACAGTGTGGTAGATTTTTCTTTTTCCTTTTTATCCCCCTGGCTTTCAAGCCAGACAGAAAGATATTGCGATCGCGTATTCCTTCTGTGTGTCCGTGTGTGTGTGTGTGCCATTTTGGTTAGGTAAGTCATAACCACATCCAGGGCACTAAGGACAGACTGACAGAGTGGACGGCTTTCCGCCAAATAGTGCGCAACAAGTACAAAGTGCACAGACGAGATGTATACGTGTATTTGCAAAAAAGATGTCAAAAATCAATTTGATCATACACGGATGGAAAACGATTGGACGGTATATAAGCCTACATGTACCGTTTTGAAAGTAAAGCGAAAAATATTTATTTTAAGAATTGATTAAGCGCCTGAAAATGATGAGGATGAGCACATTTTGAATTTGCTGAAGAAACTGCAGGAAATACTCGGCTTGGGTTCTAATGCTGCTTGAGCGCTTACATTTTGTATGTAATATGAAACAAAAAAATCAAATCTCAAATC